ATATATATATATATATATATATATATATATATATATATATATATATATATATATATATATATATATTAGTTGCACCGAGCATATAATTTTGTACAAATAATTCTTTGATCAAACTTTCTCTAAGGCAAAATATGACGGCAAAAGTTAACTATACCAATGATATATCGAGTAACAAGATGAGTTGGAATTTGACGGTACGATTAGTGAGATTGTGACATGTTCTAGACCACGATAAACCAGACAATCTGTTCTCCCTTAAATTAATTATTCAAGACGAAAAGGTGCATTCCTTTTTAGATGCATTTATTTTTTCCCATATTTCGACTACAATCTCCATCTTCTGATTTGTACTATGGAATTCATCAGGTTCTGCGTGTATTTAATTAACTGCAATTTCAGTTTTTATGATCTAGATTGAAATATATTACTTATTCTAAAATGAAAAGGTGCATTCTTTTTTATTTGTTTATCAGTCAACAAAGTAAAGAAGTGTTCGCCAAGCCTTAAAGTAAATACTTTTTTCTAAAGTAGAAAAGAATTTTTATATACTTGAAATCATTTGTGTTTTTTTTTTTTTGAATTAATTTTTTTCATGGGCAAGAACATTTTTGGATATATTAAACTATAAAATATCTAAGATTAGTGTCATATGAATAGTAATTAACATAAAATATGCATTATGTGTTATTTGGGAAAGGTAGGCCTTCAAATATTATATTTTACTCATTGGTGCTTGATTGTTTAATATAATCTGTGACAACACTCTATAATTGAGAATTTCCCTGATTCAATATTATTTATGAATTGTTTGTTTCTGGGGCGATCAGATCCATGTGACTGTTGGTCAATCTCTTATACGTATGTTCAAACCAAAGATAGAGGAATTGGGTTTGTACTTTATGAAGAACTTTGTGGTTGGACCAAATAATATGAAACTTAAATACACGCAACATAAATTGAAGTTGGCATTTACTCATAAGACGACTGTAGAGGAATTAAATGGTCAGCTTTTTCAGTATGAGTATCTTCGACTTAAGACCTTATGAGTATTTAGTAAATCAACTTGATGTTGATGAAAGTGAACTCTTCGGTAATTATTCCTTTTGCAGTTCTTTTAGTTGAATGTCTTATCAACTTTGTAGTGACTTTAAAAAAAAATATTATAGATGTCATAAGAGAGGTTATGGTGAAGTAAAATCACATAACCAAGGTGATAAGACCAGTACTTTTATGAATGTGGAGCTTGAAGATCATGAGTAAGATTGTATCTATGACTTTACTTTGTTATATATTTTAACAAGATTACTTATCATGTGATTAAGTTGTTATATAATTTATGTAGGAGGAATAATATTTCGGCATTTTTTAGGAGAATTTGTAGACCAAATCTTGCTACATTTGGAGGGATCACCCTATCAGCCAGTTATAGTGGTTATGCAGATGATAAAAGCACACAAATTTCAAGGTATCTCAATTGTCTTGCTGACATGAGAGATTTATTTTATGTTAATTTTTTGGTTCTGAAACTAAAGTTATATATAGGCAGGTATTCTGTGCGTAATACGTGGCATGCTTCAAAGCTCTGGATTAATACGAATCTTCCTCAAGCTGTTGATTTTAAGTCCAGGTTAGTTATTTGAAAAAACGTTTATGTGGATACTAAAAAAATTATTGTTTATAATTAAAACAAATACAACTTTGCGTAAATGCAGATTGGCAAGTGTGAATGAAGCTAACTCTTTCAGGATCAGTCAAATACCTTCTCAGTGTAGTTATTCTGTTTCTGACGTGTTGGCTGCTGGAATTGTAGAAGTTAAAACTATTAGAGAATTGGTCGACTGCATGTAGGTGATTAATCTATTAAACTACTTTAGTATTTAACTTATGTTATGTTGTGTATGTATAACAATGGTGGATCTAAAAATACTATTTTTTTCTCAAATATGCACATATATATTTTTTAGAATCCCTGTTACATAAGTTTATGAGCAATGCACAATCTGAAACTTTGGAGTGTAATCCTAAATGCTTCTGTTGATGTGACATTCCCTTATGCATGTCTGTTTTATTATTTTTATATGTAAAATGATACCAAATCTCATAATCTCATATCAACAAATTAATAAGCTATATAATTGAAATTAATTGAATTTGGATGCTTACTGCTGCTTATTTATTTGGTTTAGAAGATCATCATTTAATGGAATATAATGATAACATACCTCAATCTCAGATTCAAAAATTAATAAGCGATATTAATGGAACTAATTGAATATCTATGCTTATCGCTGCATATCTATTTGATTTTGGACATCATCTTTTAATGGAATATAATGAAATTTTCACAGCTTATGCTCCTTGGCATTTGGATTGATATTCCAACAATTAAATTTGAATTGTTGCGACTGTAGTGAATCTGCAACTTGAAAAATAATGGTTATATTTGGGGTGCAAGAGATGCTCGAAGAAGGTTGATAAAATTGGAAGTAAATTTCACTGCAAGAAATGTGATCACCTTGATAGTTCTACCATTCATAGGTTTGATAAGCTTCTCTATTTACTTAAAAAATTAAATAAAACTTAAGTTTAAATTTCTTATTCTAAACGTATCTTTCATGTACAAGCTTCAAGTGCAAGTAATGAATCGCACTGGCTTTATATCTTTGTTGCTTTGGGATCGTGAAGCAATAAAACTCATAGGGAAATCTGCTAATGAGTTAAATCAAAGTTCAGTAGAGGTATGTTTTTTCATTTTAATTGATAATATATTTTTTCAATTAAGTTAAATATGGTATATATGCAAAATTATAGTAAAAATTAACTCGCACCTCCAATACACCCTTATAGTTATAGGAACTGGCCATTTGTTATATCACACAAAATGAAGAGCTCTATTATTTTTTTGATACCATTCCCTTTGCCATTTTTTTGGCACCAACAATCTTTGTAGACAAATGATATTGTTATTATTAAATTAACGTGAATAATGAAACAAAATAAGAAGTATATCATAAAATGACGTAATGCAGTCTACCAGAATGAAAAGTAGGCTAATGATTTAAGGGATGATTTACTAAATGTACTTTTTTTTTGTGTGTTTTAGAACTTCTAACACTAATCTGGTCTTAGACTTCTGGTGCTGTTGATGAGTGTTCTTATCCAGTGAAGTTATATGACATTCTTGACAAAAAAGTCATGTTTAAAGTGACTGTTAAGAGCTCCAACATTAAAGTGCATGTGAAAGTTTATTATGTTGTTAAGATCAGCGAGAACGATAACCTTATACAGAGTATTTAATATAGAGTATAACTTATTTTCGTGTTTATAGTATGTCCAGAGCTGAAACATTGTTTTCCTTCCCATTTTTCAAATATAGAAGGATCTTTCTGATTTTTTACTGCTCTATATGCAGTGGTGACGAGAAGCTCCCCAACTACATGTATATTAGTGTTTCAAGATTTAATTCTTTGTGACGGGATGTTTGACTTCCGTAGTTAGTGAAAAATTTTACTATATGTCTGACCGCAGTCCAGTTGCATGTCTTCTTTATCCAAATCGTGGACATTCTGTACAATTTTCCATGTTCTTTGTTATTGAAGAGGGAAAATCCTATGTTTATAGGTCCGGACATTAAACTTCTGGTGATGTTGGTTTTATCCTGCAATGACAGCCAGCACGAAGTTGAAGACAGTTTTCGACCTGCTAAATCTAGCTTTTTCCTGAGATAAAGCCTTAACTTTAACAGAAATTTGTTATTATATAGTGGTGTCAATGCACTACAAAGTGTGAAACGTGAGAGCCCTTGAGATGAAATACCTGAAGATATTTCTGGTTTGTCAAAGCAAATCAATGACAGAAAAAAATAGGTGAAGGTTTTCCTGACCGCCTCTCCTTTTAGCCCATCGAGAGTCATAGAAGAAAGTTTATTGTTAATTTAAGGTAGATCTCATTATCTACAAATTTTTTTCTTCTTATTATATACCTTTTGGATATACTCTTAGTCTTGATGCTTACCCAGAAAGGTAGGAAGTGTGATATCATGCATGAATGTAGTTGGAGGAGTCCTCCTTTAGAAGATTTAAGGTTGATTAACTCGAGCTTAGTAGTGATGGGATGTAAGGTTCTATGTATAACTGACATTTCTATTTTACGAGGGTGACTTTAGCATCTCATACATTCTGTTTCTCATCTACAACATGATTTTAATAATTTATTTGTCTTTTCTGATTATTTGTAAACTATTTTCTTTTTGTAGGTTTTCATGGCTGATAATGAGATGTTTTCTCCTGCAAGGAATCCTGCCAAGAGAAGTAGAGAAGAGAATGGATCATATGTAGTAGACGTTGATTATAATCTTACATAATTATCAAGTAATAAGGTCAAAAGAGTGATGAAACAGGAGAAAAATCTATGAAATAAGGTTATTTAGACAATCGCATTTGCAAGTAGATTGGTACGCAGGAGAAGTAGTTTAAGTTGTATTTTAATTTGGTTTCTGCCATTTAGAATCATGATTTATAATCTAAAGTTACTTGACTCTTTATGTTATCGACTAGATTGATATTAGAAGAGCTAATGGAAAGTTTTGAAATATCACATTTGAACGTTTATGTTGTTATATCATTCACAGAATGATGAGAAGGGACCTTTTTATGTTATATGTGAGTTAAGTGAATGAATCAAGAGTTAAATAAGTGTCTTTGTGTAGTTAAGGTTTCCGTATCTACTTGTGTTTGTGAAACTTTAAACTTCTTATATCTGTTTTATGTATGAGATATTGATATCACCTCTGTAAAATGAAAAAAAGGAATCAATACTCCATCCTTTATGCCACAACATCCCAGTTTAGGAACCTGGTAAAAAGGTTCTTAAAGTGTACGATTAGAAACTATGTGATTTTTGAGTTTGAGATGGCTACCTTTTAAATTCATCATCCTTGACCATATTTCTTATTTATGTAGTAAATTTACCATACTTAATAGCATTGAATTGAGCAGATGATTAAGAACAATATTATACACTAATATTCAAAAGTATCATCCGCGCATCGCGCGGGTTTTAATACTAGTGTGTATAATATGTATATCTATGTATACCTATGTGTGATATACATGCGTGATACATGTGTCCGCAAAAAAAAAAAAAAACTCGATTTTAACTACGAATTTTAATGCCAAACCAGTCCAAATCACCTTCAATCTGCTTAAATCTTATATATTGCCGCATCTATATGTTTTCAACAAATTCCAACCATACCCATAGAAACAAATCCTTTTTTGCCTAATTTTTTTAAAATATTGTATATCATTGGTAATGAATTTTGACTCCAAATTATTCTAATTCACCTTCAAATTTATCTATGTGTTTTCAACGAATTGCAACAATACCCGTTGATTTTTTTTTTTTTTTTGCCTATATGTTTTGGGTGTTGTATATCATTGTTACTTTTGTTTTGGCTATTTTTGGTAGCATGACTAAAATGACTAGTTATTGGTAAAGTGTCTTTTACCAGGTACATATCTGTAAGATTCCCCTAAATCTTTAATATTTGCCTGTGTAATAACATAGGCCACAAAAGAAAAGAGATATGAAGAAAAAAAAATCCCACAAGTTACAGGAGAAACATGGCAGAGTGAACATTCTCACCATGTAATTTAAAAACAAAAAAGAATCATGCAGATGGAAGGATGTCCAAAGCAACTTCTTTCAAGGATGGCATTGATTCCTGTTGATGCAGGCAGATGTATGCATTCCCTACTCTTCGCAAAACTTTCCAAGGACCAGGGTAGCACCTGTTTTTCAAGAGACAGCGAAAGTATCATTTCAAAGAAAAGCAGCAAAACACATGTGACAACAAAGTACCTAACAAATAGTGGAAAAATAAAGTTCACCAAAGACATTACCTAAAAAGGACTCCTCCATTTCGTCCTTTAAAATTGTGAATATAATATACTGTTTCCATCTTAGGGAAAAGAGTCTTGGAAAGTGCAACCAGCTTTGGATAGAAGAATGACGGATAATCTTATTCTTGTCAAAGATAGCATGAAATACAGTAACTTAACATGGAACAATTGTTAAGAAGGTCTCTTTTCTTCTCTGTAATTCTCTAAAAAGCGACAAAATACTTAATAAGATGTCCATCCTATTTCCAGTGCAACAAGTTACTTTTATTCTTTCATCAGAAAGAATATAACAAATTCAAGAGCATAAGTATGAGTGAGTTTCTAACAATAGTTGTTAAATTCAAATAAGAATTATATATCTTAATCACAACAAGTACTGGGATAAATATATTTGTTACCAGAAATAAAATGAAATCAGATAGAACTATCAAAATTTGTGGTAAGAAGGATACAACCAGATCTTATTCGATCAAGCTCTCCATTGAATATAATCAGTTTCCTGGAAGTGTTCGACACTGCTGCTTTGTATAGCTCTTCCACGACAAGCATCTCTATATTGCAGAAATAAATGCTGTCATTATAAAATTTCTATTAAATCGATCACTTGATATACACAAAGGTGCAAGAGTTGATGTTACCATTGACGTTAAAATATGGATAGGCAACTATAAAGAGTTCATCTTCTGGCTTGACGCGGTCAGCCATCTTGACCTTTTCGGTGAAACCGAAATCCTCGAAAAAAGAAGGCTTTGTCAAATAATCCAACTTGAAAGATGCTCCTCCGAAAATTGATTGTCTTGCAAATTTCACCTCATTAGCCTCTGGGAAAAACTGAAATGTTTAATGCAAGTTTGACAGATCGCACCTGGTAGAGTAAAAGAGCTTAATGGGAAAAGAGGTGATCACAAACATTAACAGGAAAGTATTGCTGCAAAAATACAAAATTGTTACCATAATGAGGTAACAAATATAGGAATGAGGAGAAATTAACAAAAGAACAAAACAAAACAAAAACTAACTCCAGAATTAAAGTCTAGCTGACTTGGGATTTTACAAATGATTAAGAACTATAAATATGAAAAAAATACAATTTTGCAGCCAATTTCAGAGAAGCAGATGACATACCATCAAGGATAGATTCCTAGCAGGCATGGAAGTAAACTAGGAAAAGAGAAAAAAGAAGAAAAAGGCAAAGCGGTGAGCAACTACTGATTGAAAAGCTTTAGAGAGGAGCGTCAGGTTTTCAAATACGTGGAGCGCAAACTTCAACAAACAGAACCAGGGCAAGAACTATATAGCCACTCTTGAAGAAAGGCAGCAACTACATAGTTAAGGTCCCTCAGCAAGACCACTGAGGTTGGCATCCATGTCATAGGTTATACATTGAAATTACACTAGATGAAGACCACGAACAACCTAGTAGCACAGCCGAGGAAAGAAAGATAGCATTGGACACAATCTAATTTGGTTTCTTAGTAGTAAATTAGTGTTTCTACCAGCAAGCCCACTCAATACATAATGGAGAGAGTGCGTAGATTGAGTATCGTCTCAACTAAAACAAAGAGAATACAACAGCAAAGAACCAAAAGAAGAGGACAAAAAAGAGGAAACTGTGAGCATTACCACTTGTTTTAAGATTAAGAAGATGAAACTCTTACGGGGCAATACACTAAGAGGAAAAAGAATCCAGAAGCACCATTTGTGTAGCATTACTAAGAAAGATCTTCAGCTTCTTGTCCTAGTCGTAATGACAGCTTACATGAGAAACAAGAAATCAAGGTCACATGGATAGGCATAATTTATGTTAGATTAAGGTAGATTGATGCTTCTATAGAAAGAAATGAGACAGCAATAATTAACAACCTCCAAACTCATGCATGAAGACAAGAGAGATACACTCTGCAAATGGCCAAATTTTGGTTTATTTTGTATAAAGCAGAGAATTAAGCTCACACTCTTATGCAGTACACTCCAACAGTTTATGATTAAGCAACAGTTTTCCCTCACTAATTTCCTGAGTAGTTCTTTTACGGTTAAGATTGTTATTCTTTATTCTCCAAATATATCCATTGCCATGTGATTGGTTCCCCCAAGGAAACATAGTGTTCAAATTGTAGAATTCTATCATGATAGGACATTGACATTTTTCTTTAAGTGTAATAAGCCAAATGCAAAGAGCAATAACCAGCTAGCGAGATTTTTCGAGACTCACAATATATAATTTGGAAAAGATAAAGATTGATAAAGGTGTGAAACTTAGGACATTGACATTTTTCTTTAAGTGTAAGCTAGAGAGATTTTTCGAGACTCACAATATATAATTTGGAAATGATAAAGATTGATAAAGGTGTGAAACTTAGGACATTGACATTTTTCTTTAAGTGTAAGCTAGAGAGATTTTTCGAGACTCACAATATATAATTTGGAAATGATAAAGATTGATAAAGGTGTGAAACTATAAAATTCATCAAATCCAGAGACTTACAATTCTGGTCCTTGTGGCTTTCTCTGGTATAACCAAGAGATCACAGAACTCACGTATTAGTTGCATACTCCCAGTCATTTCTGTTCCACCCTCACCATCACCTGCTAATGATAAACACCAGAGTAAATTCACCAGATATGAATGGGAAATCAGTGAGAAGTGTAGATTATACCGATCTTCACATGCCCAAACCAAGAGAAAGTACCAAAAAAAGGAGGACAATTAGGGATAACCTGGCACAGAACCCAATCCAGCAGTTGGAAATTCAATTTCCTGGTTCAAGAAAGTTGTTGCTCTTTAAGTCCAGAGGAAGTATGGATACCATATTTTCTTTAAAGTGTTGTCACTTGAGGACATACATGGAAAATTGACTGACCATAAGTTGTCTGTTATCCTTCAATGCCAATTCAGATGCTTCTTTAGCCTGTTTATCATGAAATTTTGGTATTATGATTGAACAACAGCAGAACAGACTTAAGAAAGTAAAGTGAATAAACTGAGTACGCAATGAGCAACACAATACGCACTATCCAAATTGGATGCATGAAAAGGAAAAGTTAAAATAGAAAAAAATCAGGGTGGTAATATACATATGGAAAAACCAAAAAAAAATATCATGTAATGGACATGAACAGATAACGTAATAACTTACGCCTTGAGGCAGCTGAAGAACCAACGACAACAATAACATACCCATGATTTGGAGCATATAAAATTAATATTCAAATATAATACACAGGTTGAGTAAGTGCTTTCATAATCAATTAATCAATAGTGGAGTGTGCTTATGTTTTCTAGTGAGTGTTTAATTATGTCTTCACTTATCATCTACAATGAGTGTTTAACTATGCTTTCCTTATCATCTACATTCTGATTTTAAGCCCCAAAGGGGACAGATTTGGCAGTTGGTAAGAGCCACATAAAAAATTTCAGCTGCATATTTACAAATATAAATTTTGAAAATCTTGAGAGGTGAAAAAGCTTAACAGATACATAGTCTACTAGATATATAGTAATCAGACACGATCTGCAAGTAATGAGGTTACATGGGCACAAGTAAATCATAATAGTTAGTTCAACGAGACCAGATCATTGTTAGGCGAGTGATACCAATTAGTCACAATCTTCTAAGCTCACTACAAATGCCTCTCTTTTTTCAAGTCAGGATTGAATTCCCACTTCTGAAGGTGATCAAAGTGATATAACAGAAACCAAGGGGGACATTATACTTTTATCAAGAGAAAAACTAGCAACAAGTATAAATGATGTCGGTATATGATCTACTTAAGATTTAGTATGGAATAAAAATCATTCGTAGTAACTTTACCAAGGAGTCACATTATACTAATTCACCTTATTCTCGTCACCGTATGTTATCTATTTTTACTAATAAAAAAAATTCATAATTCATCCTCCTATATTTTCTGTGTACTAAAACGATCCTTCAGTTACTTGAACTCAACTCAAAGACTCTCAAATAACGGCTTCAAAAACTCATATATGTGTGTAGGCCTTCTATTAGTTATTAGCATTTAAGTTAACCATCCTTCACATGTGAAAGAGTATATGTTCCTAAGATTTCTGGAATGAAGCATACTTGTTGAAGTAATTCAGTGTAGTCCCTCGGGAACGGCACATCAAATCCAATTGAAGTAGCTTTATCCCCGCCCGAACAACTGATAGCAAATTCAAGATTTCTCACATTTCTCTTCACTTGACACCTTATCCAATTGAAATCCTACACCATATTCCACAAAATCAATCGAAAACAGCAATAAAATTTGTGAAGCAAGTCAAGCAACTAAGCAAGTGAAAAATGCGCGGTATTTTAAAACCCTAGAACTCAGTTGCGTAAATCAACATTTTATTGGCAACCAAAAGAGCTGCGGAAGATAATTTCTCTTACCTGCGGAGTTAGAGGGGAAGGGACTGAAACGGTTGGGAAAGTGGATAACCACATTTTGAATTCCAACCACAAGGAGAGAGGCTGAGAAGAGTTTAAACTGTACTCTTTCCTTTATAAACCAGAAAATATTTTTTAAGGTAGATATATCGTTAGTGTGTACGTATTATTTTTCACAATCAGTGTGCTTTTTTGGAGTTTTTGACCAATATTGTCTCGTATCTTTGAGGTAGGTCTATTTTGGTCCTTCAAATATAATCCTGAGCATACTTAAAGTGGAGCACCTTTAGCCTCACTGACAGAATGTGTTTAAAAACTAACGGTGTTAACCAACTCTGATTCATGAACCAAATCTCCTGCTCTGAAGCAAAACGTTTCCTCTCCTTTTATTGGATAACGCAAATTATTATTTTAATTCCTCATTTTTAGATAATGTTGTAGGCATATAAATTATATTAGAATTAAATCCAATATCTGGACTATATTTTAAATTCAAGATATATTGGTCTAAATAAATATTATGGGCTAATATAATTGAATTAAATGTATAAGTCCAATATAAATGGATTAAATAAATAAGACTTAATCCATTGGGCTAGCCATTTAATTGGGCTAAAGTGATGAGCCCACTTCATTAAGCCCAAGATGTCATCTTCCCGGAGGCCCAGTTTGGTGCCACGCGTCAAATGACGTGGCACGCCAAGTCAAACAGAAGAGCCAATAGAATTGTGCCACGTGTCAAAATGACAAGGCATTGCTAAATCAAATTACATGGCTAATGAAGCCGCGCCACATTTGCAAAGTGACATGTTCTGGCCAATCATACGCGACCATGTCACACTTCGATTTGATTGGTCGGAAAGAGTTTGTTCTTATCATAACTATTCCACCCCACAACTATAAATAGGGGTCTTCATAACCAAAAAAGACACTAGAAGTTATAACAAGAAGCAAGAGAGAGCTCGTGGATCAAATGCCGCAGATTTCTCTAAAAGCTACAAGCATTCAAGTGTTCTAAGGATTAAAAGATCAAGGCGAAGATTCAAGAACAAGCTGCAAGCCCTTGGATTAAAAATACACTAAGATCAAGATCATACCTCAACCACTTGGATTAAAATAAAATAAAATTCAAGATTAAGATCGAAGGTTCTTTTATTTACTGTTGAAAAGTAGAATCAGAGGATTCATAGAGATTGTAACACTCAAATATTTGAAGTAAAATACTATGATCGTTGCAATATTTTCGGTCTTGATTTTATTTTCTTGACGCAATTTATTGTCGTTCTCAATTCTCGCAATTTGTATTTTGTCTAAAAGTAGGTCAAAGTTCACATTTCCCCCTATTATGCCCAAGATGAAGAAATATGTCTCGTCCGATTATAAGTCTTGGGGGGAAAGAATGTATGGAAACTTACTTGAAAATCGCTTGCAATCTTTGGTGAATATCGTTGGGCCAGGTACTGCTACGCCTTCAGAGATCACGCCTCAAGAGCATAACAGGAGGTCAAGCCTCCTACTTTAAAATCCAAAATGGTTGTGTCATGCGACGTCAAGGGACCTCCATATAAAGAAGTTCAAAAGAAGGGACTTGTTCAGGCTCATCAAGCCAATGGGGGTTCATTTCCATTAGGCACCGTTGTTCCTACCTCCAAAAAACGCCCATCCCAAAATGAGAGTGAAAGTAGTCATGGAGATCAAAACTTCAAGAGGGTGAAGCCATATTCAAACAAACAAGGAGATGCTAATTTGGGTGTAGTCGAGATTACTGACAACATCGGCAGTGCTTCAAGGACTTTGATGGCTATAAAAGAGGTAATGATTAAAACTTTCATATTATCTTATAATATACAAGTAATTTCACTAACCTTATATTCTTTTCTATGCAGCCAAATGGTATTCATACTTCAATGGCATCACACTAAAGTAAGCCACAAGGTTGTAGCGAATCCGTGGTGGAGCTAGATTCGAGGAAATCACTTCCAATACCTAAGTCAGACCTAGAGGCAACTTCCATTTCTAGTCTTGGAGCAAAATCAGGGCCTAATTTTCACCAACAATCAACACCAATGATATCTATCTTTGATGGAAGAAAGGTTGTCTTGACTCTTCGCAAGGATTTCATTTTGAATGCCTGGGCTAAAATTCAAGCCAAACTCGAGGACCTTACCGCAGACAATGCTTCTTCTCTTTAATTCGAGATCCAAGTGATTCTCGAGGAGATGGACGGAAAGGGTGTGGATATTTCCCCTGTAAAAGACCTATTGACGTCTTTGTTCGAGCTTGCCACTTCATATGACCAGGCACGATCAGCTCTTTTTGACAAGGTTGTGGATGTTGAAAAATCAGAGTCATTTTTAAATGCCACGGAACATCTTGATCTTGTCTTGATTGAGAAAGTGGAGAATGTCGAGAAATTGTCTGCCACCAGTCAGTCTCTCAATGAGGTGAAGGAGAAGGTGAAACAATTAAGAGCTCTTCGAGGTATTGCCAAAAAAGAGGTTGAAGAGATTGAATCTAAAGTCTCATCTGCTGAAGAGGAGTATCGAAGATGTTCTGATGTCCCTTTGGCAACCGCTGATGACTTGGCCGACGTGGAGATGAAGAAACAACACCTAGAGGCAACCCTTAAAAACGTGGTCAATTACAATTTATGTTTAGATTAGTCGACATAGAGTATTTTATTAGCCTCTTTTTGTTTTGCATTTGATTAACTAGCGGCTATTCTTAGAAATTGCTTATCATGTTGTATTGACGTCCACATAATGGAACTTGACTTTTATTTAAACGTCGTTGCCATTCATGTCTTGAAGTTCTCTGTATTTGGAGATACATCCTCCTTTTTCTTTGAGGATAATATTGTTCATCACCTTTGCACCTTTTGTGGCAGGAAATATATATCTCAATGTGAGGACGTCAAAAATATGAGCCATTTAATTTCATATAAACTAAACTTTAAAATCTAAGACATATCCAAAATTCAGAATCAAACACCTTTAGAATCGCCGCAAGTAATATTTTGAAACCAACTTTAGATTCCACCATGTTGAAAATTACAAATTTGCACAGTCTTACCAAAAATATCATATCTTGGTGTAGAAATGTCAAAATTGAGAACCGTTTAATTCCATGGAAACTATCCATGCCTCGTTTTTTCCTTTGCGGTTCAATATCAATAGTTCTTTGCTTATCATGTTGTATTGACGTCCACATAATAGAACTTGACTTTTATTTAAACGTTGTCGCCATTCATGTCTCGAAGTTCTCCGTATTAGGAGATACATCCTCCTTTTTCTTTGAGGATAATATTGTTCATCACCTTTGCACCTTTTGTGGCAGGAAATATATATCTCAATGTGAGGACATCAAAAATATGAGCCATTTAATTTCATAGAAACTAAACTTTAAAAACATATCCAAAATTTGAGATCAAACATTTTGAGAATCGTCCCAGATATCATTTTGAATATAACTTTAGATTCCGACATGTTGATAGTTTCAGATTTGTACAGCTTCACCAAAAAATTTATATCTTGGTGTTGAAACGTTGAAATCATAAACCGCTTGATTTTATGAAAAATAGACTTCAAGATATAAGACATATCCAAAATATGAAATCAAACATTGTGAGAATTGTCCCAGATATTATTTTGAATCTAACTTTAGATTCCGACACATTGATAGCTTTAAATTTGTATAGCTTCACCAAAATATTTGTATCTTAATGTAGGAATATCGAAATCATGGACCATTAGATTTTTTGAAAAACAAACTTCAAAATATAAAACATATCCAAATTTCAAGATTTAATATCTTAAGGATAGTTTCAGATAATATTTCGAAGTCAACGTAAAATTCGGACACACTGACGATTTCAAACTTGCGCGATTTCACCAAAACTTTTATATCTTGATGTTGGAATGTCAAAATCATGAACCGTTTATTTTTATGAAAACAAGACTCCAAAGTCTAAAACATTTCCAAAATTTAGGATTTAATACCTTAAGGATAGTTTCAAATAGTGTTTCGAATTCAACATGAGATTTTAATATAGCGACAATTTTGAATTGGCGCGACTTCGTCAAAAGTTTTATGTTTTGGTATGGAAGCCTCGAGATCACAAGACGTTGTTCTTGATATCAGTCAAAATTCAAGAGCTTCATTCTCACAAATATCTTGGGTTCGAGTCTCACTGAATTTAAAATGTTGCGCCCTAGGAATCTTTCTTCTTATAGTTGTGTTCCCTTTTGACGCCTCTCTTATCTTCCCTTTTTTTAGGGTAGTGAGCGGATATGAAGACCAACAAACTTGAAGGTTATGCGAACATGAAGACATAGCGAATCCCCAGATATTGATACAAATATTGTCATCAAGACACCATTTTACCATAGCAACTTGCCCCGTTCAAATTAAATGGGATCCAAAGTTCAACATGAAGATAGCGTTTCAGCTTGATTTTACATTCCGTTCATACTTTACTCGGACAATAATTGGGGCACTATGTATCTTTTGAAATCATGCAAGTGAACTCAGAATGAAACTTTAAACTGCTTACGTACCTTGGTGAAGAGGATCAAGTCATATCGTAGTTCAGAATGGGTGATATTTTTTTTAAAAAAATTATGTCCTAACTTTTGCCTAGGCTGCCTCTTTCGAGATTTTCAACCGAGCAGACTCTCTCTCTCTTTCTTTTTGTGTGGGTCGTACACAGTTTAGACTCATGCGGTCCAGGAGTGTAGGAACATGCAGTTTAGGCTCATGCGTCAAGGAGCGTTGTAACTTCAAGGATAATACTTCTTCAAAAACTTGTCATTGATAGGGCCGATTCTCATGCCATCTGCATCAACCAACTTGTAAGCCCCACTTGAGTAAGCTTCTTGTACGACATATGGCCCATCCCATTTTGAAGTGAACTTCCCTACAGGTTTATGGGAAGTAATTATGGGTCTTCGTACGCCAAGGACTTGATCTCCTACTTGAAAGGATCTAGGGCAAACTCTTTTATTGAAGGCGCGAGACAATCGAGCTTGATAACATTCAAGACTCTGTTGAGCTTCCAACCTCTTCTCATCAAGATCCTCCAACTCTGCTAATCGAAGTCGA